GACTGAGTACGAGGCGGACGGCCACACCCTCGACGAGCAAATCAACCAGATCCTAGCGCAGAAGACTCGTCTTCGGAAAAAGTACTCTCGACCGCCTCCGGATGGCGATAAGCTGTTTCGCTCCGACGTTGTGCATAAAGATGTATGTGGCGATGATTGTGGAAGCAGCCCTGAGCACCTAGCGTGCCGAACGGAACGGGCCGAAGAGGATGACAACCCCGCCATCCACCACGGACTTATCGCTAGCGCGAACCAGTTGATGAAGGATGCGCAGGTTCGCGACACGCTAGCGGCTGAAAAAGGCGTCCTCTGTTTCGAGATGGAGGCGGCTGGTCTGATGAACCACTTTCCTTGTCTCGTGATCCGTGGGATCTGCGATTACGCCGACTCCCACAAGAACAAGGAATGGCAAGGGTATGCGGCGATGGTGGCGGCAGCGTATGCGAAGGACCTGCTGCGGAAGATCTCGCCTACTAGGGTGGAAGTGGAGCGACGAATCGCAGATATCCTTACGTCTGGTAGGTAGAACCCTTTCGTGTTCTTCCTACCCAGCATCCTCTGACGCGGCATAGTGGAAGCTGGTTTGGACCAGCTTCGCCTCAAGGCGAATGAAACGCAATATGAAGTTAAGACTCACACGTATGTAAGAAAGCACCCTAGTTAAACAAGACACCGCTTATGATTACCAAGCGAGCTCCTAGTTAGCATCCATCAAGGTGTCCAGGGTCAGAAGCCGAAGATCACCGAGGACGCATCTGCCTATCGTGGATCTCACTACTTGCTACCTTTTGCGAGCGACCCGGAGTTTGTGGAGCGGCCTGAGATCTGGGCATGGATAAAAGAAGGTTTTACCGGCCTCGCTAGACGCATGGCACTTTTTGGGATGGGCGGTTTCGGGTGGGTTTCTTGCATACTCTCCGAGGGGTTTCTGCTAAATATAATAGCAAATCCCAGCTTGCGATCCGATTTGCGTGCTATGTCCGGGACGAGTTCCCCACGACTAGCATTTTTTGGGTGCATGGGGCTACCCGGGACACGTTTGAAGCATCCTACCGTACGATCGCTGAGACGCTTCTACTGCCGCGGCGGACGGATGCAGACGTGAACGTCCTTGCGTTGGTGCGCGACTGGTTACAAAAGGTCGACGGCAACCCTTTCCTAATGGTCATCGATAACGCCGACATCGTTGACATTTACTCCGACAAAGCGCTACACGACGACGGGCTAGCATTATACCTGCCAAAGTGCGATCACGGCAAGGTGCTGGTTACGACACGAAGTAGAAATGTAGCCGAGAAGCTCGTTGGAAATGGCAAGTGGATTCAGCAGGTACCAGTCATGAAAAAGGACCAGGCGCTCCAGCTCTTGTACAGAAGACTGGGGAGCGAAGAGGAGAGCGATGGAGGAGACCTGATCCGGGCACTGGATCACGTACCGTTAGCTATCAGCCAGGCTGCGGCATATATCCACTGCCGGAGGCCCCGAGTAACACTCCGGTCGTACCTGGAAGAGTTCAACGGGGGCCAGAAGCGGAAGATAGGGTTGCTGCGCAGCGACAAAGGCGATCTGGGCCGATATGAAGGCGTGTCTAACTCCGTACTGGTCACGTGGCAGTTGACATTTGACAGGATCCGGGAGGATCACCCGCGGGCTGCTGATCTCCTCGCCCTGATGAGCCAGTTTCAATCACAAAACATACCCGAGAGCATGTTGCACGGGTACGACGACACAGCCGCTGATGCCCACAGCGATCAAGGTGATGCGGGCGTCAGCGTCAGTGACGATGGCAGTCGGGGATTGGAATTTGAGAACGACCTCGACGTTCTCCGGAGCTACTCCCTTGTTATGGTCAAAACTGCGGGGTTATGCGATATGCACTCACTGGTTCAGTTCTG